CATAAGGGATATTCGGACCAATTTTCATAGATGGTACAGTGACAGGGCAAAAATACCTGTATATCTTGAAAGACACTTTCATTCCTTTTTTAGAAAGTGAGGGGTACTGTCATCAGCTATTTTTATGCAAGACGGTGCAAGACCTCATCGTGTTGAACAAGTTTTCCAACTCATAAATGAAAAATTTGGCGATTGAATTATCAGTTTGGATTACCCAAGAGTGATGGGATCAGGTTTAGAATGGCCTCCATTTTCTCCCGATCTCAACCCATGCGATTTCTTTTTATGGGGCTATCTTAAAGATAAAGTGTTTAGTCTTGCTCCTAAGACAGTACAGGACCTTAAAAACAACATTACGGAAACAATTAAAGAGATCCCAAAAGACTTTACTGAGTCAGTTATTATTAGTAAGAAGATTATCGTAATAGGCTCACTACGGTTATTGTGGATGAGGGGTCTCATTTTGAACATCTCTATCGTTAACTTAATTATAAACTTGAATTAATTAAAAAAAATTTTCAAAAAATTCCACATGCTTCAGAAGCTATAAGCTTTTACTTTTAGGGAGTACCCATTGGGCAGCCCTGTATATCTAATTCGATAAACTAAACATTTTCTAATGAAAAAATTTCGTGATAAATCTTCTTGATCGTTTAAACTTAAAACAATGCTATTATCATTTATGGCTACAATATAAGGATTATCTGTTTGTTCTAAATTTTCATTATCAGTTGATGAAACTTGACTCTCCATCATTAAAACCACAGCAGCTTCCAAATCTCTTTTTATTGAGCAGCATTGAATACGGATTGATATGGTTTGCCTCTTCGCAACATTTGGAGCCACATTGTAAAACTATTTCCGATTGATATATAAAACGCTTCCATTACTAAAAAAATAAAAGAAAGTAAAAAAATTAATATTTGAAAATGCAAGTAAAAATAAATAAAAAAGAGACAATTGATTTAAAGGAGTAGAAACGTTTATTTGGTTGATTAATTTCTTCACATTGATCAAAAGAGTTCAAGCTATTATTAATGAGATCTTCGAAAATTTGAAGAGAGTGGTAACAATCTGTCTCATCTATGTTCCCTAAATACATAGCTCGTTTAAGGCTTTGTGATTGCATCAGTATAAAGATGATATTATTCATCTTGGACTTCGCCATCAGAGCTTGTTACAAAGCTCAACGTCGACCTATCCCATTTTAGTCTGGTGATCAATCCAAACATCCTCTTCATCAATGTCTCGGCATTTTCATCGAGACCGATCGTCAGGAAATCCTCCAGGGCATTAGACAACCTCTCCAACAATCTTTGCATTTCTAATACAAAAAAGAAAAGAAAAAATGATTAGTAAAAGGAAACCATTGGATTGACCATCTGTTGGTGAGATCATGTTCTCACTCATGCGTTGTAGCCTTGGAGTGAGAGAGCATCGATAATTAACGAGAGTCGCAAGAATATGATAAATGGGACTATCATTGATGAGCACTGCCATTACGTCGTATAATTTGAATACGACGGTTAAATAAAAAGCGGAAACAGCCATGAGTGAGATGATGGAGATAATTGTAATTTTTTCAAATCTCTTATTTCAACTGGTTTTTATTTGTATCGTGTATTGGTTAGAGTACGAATCTATTAAAATACAAAGTGAAACCTTTATTTAAAATTGTGAATTTGGTCTCTCTCTCTCACTTTGGAAAGTGAATAGAACTAAGAGAGAGAGAGAGTAACTGGAGAGATGATGAGATTGAGAGAGAGAGAAACAAATTCTTACTTTTATTTACTTGTTGTTATTATTTTGTTGTTGTTATTTGCTATTGTTATTGTTGTTGTAATTGTTGTTGTTGTAGTTTTTATTATTGTTGTTATTGTTGTTGTTATTTTATTTGTTGTTGTTTTATTGATTGTTTTTATTGTTGTTTTTGATTGTTTTGTTGTTGTTTTTATTATTACAAACACAATTATGAAAATTCACAATATTTAATGCACAACTTAACAGAGAAAAAACTCAAATGAAATTTTTCTTTCTTTTTCTATTAAACTTTTATATTGCTATCTTGTATAATTTAATTGAACCTCTCCTTTGTTATCATCATTAGTTGAAAATGAGCTCAATAAAAAAGAAAAACAAAATAATCATCTTAATTAATCAAATGATAATAAAGGAGAGATAAAATCAGGAAAGGGAGAAGGCAATAGAGCAGGTGAGGGAAAGAAAGAGAAAGGACAGGCAAAAGGGGACGAACAAAGTTGGTTTGCGCCAGAGGCGTTGGCTTTGCCCCTACTCACAACAATACCCTCTAACTCAGTTTACAGCCTTTAAGACAATTACAATGACAATCAGTGATTCGATAGTTATAAATAGAGAAAGTGATGGATTTGTCAGAGGTCTGCCACAGACGCTAAAATACTCCCTCCGTTTCATGGATATATCGACTGCTCTATAGGAAGTCAGACTCGAATTCTAATCTGCCTAATAGATGTTAACCATAGGAGAACTGTGAATTTAGAACGATTTTTGTAACAAATACCCATCGACAGTTGATGATATCTATCATGTCTGTTCTTTCGACAAGTTCCCCAGTTTCCATTTTATTTAATTCCACTTCTCAAGACTTTGGATCACTAATATTAATATTAACAACAGTAGTTGAATTCTCAAGAAAATTGTACTCATCAAAAATGACATCACGTGAGACGAAAAATTTATTTTTCTCAGGGTCATAAGCTCTATACCCTCTATGATCATCTGAATATCCCATGAAAATATTCTTTGTTGACCTGTAATTAAGCTTATCTCTTTGTGATTTTGGTACATGAACAAAACAAATACACCCAAAAGTTTTCAAGTGAGAATAACCAAATTGCTTATCGAACCAAATATCGAACGGAGTTTTGAACTCAATACTTGAACATGGCCTTCCATTTAACAAATAGTCTGCTGCGCTAATTGCTTCAGCCCAAAATTTTCGATCTTATTGAGATAGTTAACAACGAGTAATCTCAAGTAAAGTTCTGTTTACCATTTTGTTCAGGTGTATACGGACAAGATTTTCAATGTTATATCCCCTTATCGGATAAAAACTTTTTCACCTTTTCATTCAAATTTTCTTAATCAGCATTACTTCTTATGGCTTTAATATTCTTACCCTTCTGATTAGTAAGTTAACAAAGTTAGTTAAGGAGGGTCTCCCATTTTCTTAACTTTTATTCTTTCAGTTAAGGAGACAACTTTTTTGGTAATAGATTTTGACATAGCCTATTCAAAAATATCATCGGTTTTCATTTCTGAACTCAAAAACGGGAGATATTCAAGGCCAAAGTGCGCAACTTTGCTATATTGTAGTGACCTGGGGATTTTTCAGATTACTACGATATTTGAGATTTAGTTAGAACTTTATAAGGTCTACTAAAAGATATACTTAACATTAATTTGAGATCAATAGTTTCGGTTAAAGCTTTAATGGTCAGTTCATCCATTTGAATGATGAATTGAGGCATGTTTGATATCAATCCAATGCTTGCTGTAGATCCACGTTTTGTGTAGCCACGATGGCATAATGAAGGTTGATCATCAACACCATATTCTGAAACAATATTTTTCCACATAGAACAACCTTTGTCAGTAGTAATGATGAATAGGGGGGTCGGTTGAAAAATCATTTCATTTTTTGACTAAGGAGACAATTCTTTACATGACAGGCGTCACAGAATCCTTTTGAGCATTTTCATCTTGCAAAATTTTGGCATAATTGGTGAATGTAGCATTTTGTTAAATTTTTGAATGATACCTGTGGGAATTCATCACATGAATGCATGGTGGAATTTTGATTGGCACAGTATTCTTTTGAAACCGCATTAGTGATACCATTTTCACCACAATTTGCACAAAATAAACGATTGGTTTGGATCATGATGTGTTCGCTAAAATATGAACAGAATAAAATGGAATTAGTTTGAAAATGTTTTCAATTTTATAATAAACATAAAACGCTAAATACTTACCAATAGCTTTCTGTAGCCGAAACATAATCATAATCATCATTCATCTCTTGTGAATCCATTTGCTTAGCTAAGCTAAAAGAAGATTGATTATCTCAATGAATTGCATGTATAAGAGCTTTAATGAATGATATGTAAATAAAGATTATTGAATGCACAATCGTTTTTAATCAGAATTGAGATTTTATTGAGTTAATTATGATCACAATTTATAACAATAATCACTAATTCATATTTTGCATTGCAGAGAACATGATGGAGGAAGGTAAGAAAAAAAATCTTTTCAAAATGGAGGGACTTTGGAAATTGGCGCGATATTTCCAAACTATTAGGTTGTTTCATATGGTTTTGCACTATTTTGGCGCCCTCTATCTTGGGTTTGCCGAAACTTACAAAAACCGTTGATAGGTCATTTTGAAGCTTATTCAACCTTCATTGCAAAGTGATTTATTTTAAGTTTATAGTCAAAATGGAAACTCGTGAAATTTGTGTGAATTCAATTAATTACCAGGAACATCATGTTTTTTGTAAGTTTGCGTGTCTTATTACGTGGTCAGCGGGATATACACATGATCAATTGAAGAAAATGCTAGGAGATAAGGCCGCCAGTAAAAGTTCAGTCCAAAATTGGATGTGTGCCATTAAACAAGGTTACCCTGTTATCGCATCCAGAAATACTGGTCGATCAGTTGACGAACAGAAAAAATTGAACGAATTGAAAAAATTCGTGTTTGTTTCGAAGAATCGAGACATTGGAGTCTTCGCTCGATTTCCAATCGAGAAGAGATACCACTGAGTACCGTCCAAAGGATTGTAGTCCATGACCTTAAGATGAAGAAGATTTTGAAGAAATGGGTTCCACATGATTTGTCGTTTTCTCAAATGGAACATCGTGTTTTAGCTTGTAGATCCAATTTAGAGCGATTATCAAAGGACAAAACACTGTTAAAAAGAACAGTTACTATTGATGAGTCATGGGTCGCACTTTACATGGCGCCAGATAGGAACCAATCAAGATCTTGGCTACTTTCAGGTGAGGAACCGGAAATTCAGGTATCCCAAAATATTCATGCTGGTAAACGATTACTAATAATGGCCATGGATTACTTTGGAATTTGCTTCTGGCAGCTCCTCCCGCCAAAACGACTGTAACGGCTGAGGTCTATAAACAGTTTCTTGACGAGTATATACCGAAGTGGTTAGACGGAAAGCCGTTTGAGCGACCTATTCTACTTCATGATAACGCGAGACCACATAAGGCAACTCTAGTTACTGATTTTTTGGCAGAAAAACAAGTTCCATGTTGGTTTCATCCTCCTTATTCTCCCGATATAAGCCCTTTGGACTTCTGTTGTTTCGGCCAATTAAAGAGGCGACTCAAGGGAATCAACCATCAAAATTGGGATGAATTCGAACAAGCTTTGGAAACAGCGGCAAATGACCTTAATAGCGAAGGTCACATGACTGGTGTTCAACAGCTACCCGATAGATGGTCACGCATGATTAATTCTAAAGGTCAATACTTGTAACACACAAAATTTCAGGTCAATATGACCTTTAGAACAAAAGTTATAAAGAAATAAAAAGGTGCAAAACCATATGAAACAACCTAATACATCATAAATGTATCATATAAACCATATCTTTTCAACTTCTGTATTTCATTTAACAGATATTCCAGAAAAACGCTTTACGATTATGAGTAAATCAAAATTCCAAACTCATTTTTATAGTGTTTAATATCATAAGTAGCCTACCAGAGTTCGAAAAGTAAAGTTCTTCCATGTTTAGAATTTGTCTATGGGATTTTACATGTATTTTGAGCCTCGGATCGTTTAAAAACTTTTTCTATAATATGATAGATATCGCAAATATTTCAATTCATTTTTGTAGACCCTTATTAGAGCATGTTATAAAAAAAGTTTCATCGGCCTGAGATCAGTATTCAACGATCACGGACCAAAATAGAAGCAAATCTATTGATCACAGACTAATGTTAAGTATATTTTTTGGTAGACCTTATAAAGTTCTATCTAAATCTCAAATATCGTAGTAATCTGAAAAATCCCCAGGTCACTACAATATAGCAAAGTTGCGCACTTTGGCCTTGGCTATCTCCCGTTTTTGAGTTCAGAAATCATATTTTTGAATAGGCTATGTCAAAATCTATTACCAAAAAAAGTTGTCTCCTTAACTAAAAAGGATAAAAAAGTTAAGAAAATGGGAGACCCTCCTATCATAAACCTCGTCTTTCTTTTTCATTTTAAAAACAAATGAAAAATGAGAATAATCATCATTGATTGAAAAATTAATAGTTCGACTTAATTTGTCTGAATTGCAACAGTTGATTAGAATTTTAATTTGAATAAAATTGCTTGTTGAAATTTTGAAAACCTTGTGAGTTTTGTTTCCAATTTATCTTCTTGGATTGTAGAAGTAAATTTTTGGGTTCGGAATTATCCTTGTTCATCAAAATTTCCTAGTTTTATTCTCATGCTTTTGTTGCTGTTGGTCGAATTCATTCTTTTTATAATAAAACTTCTGCCAAATTTTTCATTTCATCCAAAGAATTTACTTTGGTTAATATAAAATTAGTATTCTGGACAACAATCCATTTTTAATATATTGAACTTTTTCTTCTTGAAAAAATATCTCCAACAATTAACGATAGTCAATATTGTGAGGAGATAAATTTGATTAAGATGATTTCCTTTGCTCTTCGTTCGGTGTAGAAAGATTTAAAACAATATCTCGACTTGTGGGAGGTGTATCGTCATGTAGAATGGCTTGGCAGCAAGGGAGGTTCTGGTGAACACAGCGATGATGGTAACGGCGAAACTGGGGAAACACAGTGTTTGTGGTAATGGTGAAACTGGGGAAACACAGTGTTTGTGGTAATGGTGAAACTGGGGAAACACAGTGTTTGTGGTAATGGTGAAACTGGGGAAACACAGTGTTTGTGGTAATGGTGAAACTGGGGAAACTTGATTGGAGGTGATGGCAGATTTGGGAAAACAAGGGAAACACAATGATGGTGATAACGGCGAAAACTGGGGAACACAAAATTTGGGGTGGTGGCGAACACTATTTATTTAAAATATTTAAATAAAACTTCTTAAAATAAACTTCTTGAGAGAAGAGTAGCACTGAGAGAGAGAGAAAGAAAAACAAAGTGTTGATGTTGCTGATGCAAATGTTGGACAGTAAATGACTTCGCAACCCTCTGTCTTTCTCTCTTTCTCTTTTATAGCCAATTCGGCCCATTGCGAAAGAGAAAAGACAGAGCAAAAGAAAGAGGTTTGACCCCCAAACAAAGAGAAAGAAAGAGTCTCTTTCTTATGGCCCGAAAGTTAATTGGATGCGATCTTAAACTTTTCCTTCTTTTCCCTAGAGAGATGGTCATTTATAATGTCCACCTTTCCTGATGCTTTCTCTCCCTCCTAAAAGTAATTTAGTTTCCCTGCTTAATGTAGAAATGGTAAAGTCATAAAGAAGTTAATTTCCCTGGAGAGAGGAGGAGTAAAGCTACATACATTTACTTCTCCTCTCTTGTCAATGATAATCAAAATTAATAGGTTTTTGGGAGGAAAAACTTCCAAATAAAAATAATAACATTGGGGTGAGAAGGGAGGTTATGATACCTTTGTGTGACTTTTATCCCCTCACAATATTATCGATGGTTAATTATAAAAAAATACAATTAACCAAAGGGCTAAATGAAAACATCAGAAAAAAATCAAAATTCTTTCCAACAATAGTAGATAGAGTTTGGTCTGAATTAGATGTCTATAGAAATAATCGAGAGATAATAATAAAGAGAGTAATCGGCTTGTAATAAGAATCATTTTCAACTTTTATCTTCTTCTAATCAACTAATTAGCTGATTTAGTTGGTCAGTTATGATTGGCCATCACTAATCGATCATAATGGTCCCTTAATTAATTGTAATTCCAATGAAAAGAGAACCCAAACTAACCAAATCTATTCTTATTTCTCTATCTAACTGATGTTCTCTTTTCCTTCAACTACAAACCCAATGTCAGTAGTATCTTTCTCTCTTTCTCTCTTTCTCTCTTTCTCTCTTTCTCTCTTTCTCTCTTTCTCTCTTTCTCTCTTTCTCTCTTTCTCTCTTTCTCTCTTTCTCTCTTTCTCTCTTTCTCTCTTTCTCTCTTTCTCTCTTTCTCTCTTTCTCTCTTTCTCTCTTTCTCTCTTTTTATTACTTGGAAATTGCTTACCTTTTTAATTTATTACAATTCTAAATAGAATAGGTTGTATATATCAAACTAAATTAAATTTCATCAGTATCTTAATTAGTTAGATTTATCGATTTAATTATTTCATATTAGGAAATGGACAAGTCAACAATAATAAAAAAGCATAAGTTGAAAAACGAAAATTTAACCCATTTGGTCAATGCATTACTACAACAACACAACGAACAATTATTCGAAGAACCGTTGAAACATTTAGTTAGTAATGTTCTTCTCAAAAATCCAAAGCAGTTTACTGAATCATCAATGGCTACGGATAATATTAAGGTGGACAAGATTAATTATTTTTTATACGAATATAAACTATCGCTAAAAACTCCAAAACGAAACATAATTGGTCATGGAACTTCAACAAGTAAAAAGAAGTATTTCGCAGCCAATGATTTATTGTTAAAGCTACAATCAACTGGATTTCTCATTCAAATGGAAAGTTTATTTGTTACTTTATAAACTTTAATTAATATTATTAATTTCATAATTTTATTTATCAGCAGAAATACGTGATCGGCTTACCTAATATAAGAGGACATTGCTTTTTTGTACCGACTTTTGTACCTCTATTTTTGAGTAAGCAATTCGTTGAAGATATTACTAAAGCAACCGTGATTTGTTCCAAGAATAAAGAGAAATATCCTCATTTCTGCAAAATCAAGAAATTTTATGATATTTATCGGACCGCAAGTTTTGATTCCAATTTTTCTTCTAGAAACTTTTCTATTGGACTCGAATTGGACGATGGTTCGAATAATAAATATTGGATTAACAATGTACGTGGTAAAAAGCTTGATCTAAAGCTTTATCAATAATTAATCTTTGCAAGAGCTGAGTGTAAGTGTTGAATAAACAAAAAGTAATTAATGGTTAAGACTAAAGTCATTAACCAAGACTTTAAAGTCCGAGAAATGATGAATTTCAAGATTGAAATTGAGATGAAGGTTGTTATATAAAAAGATCAGCAAATTAACTGATTGATAGTAATTGATATAAACAAGTTATTGTAAATTTATTCCAACTAATCAAATTACTTAGGATACTTAATAATTAAGTAAAAACAATAACAACGAATTCAATTGAATGATTAGTTATTAATCAAGTTCTCACAAGAGATTCCAATCTGTCCTTACATGTAACAGATTACAAAATGTAGATTCGTATTCAGGACTCACAAAGAATAAGATACTTAAAATTAACTAATTGTTGGTGTAATTAACTTTAATCATTGAATAAAAGAACTTAAATTCATTAGAATTGAGTGGTAATTAGAATTTAGAAAAATCTTAATAAGATGAACAATATTAAGAAGTCAAAACTCAACTCAACTCGAATTCAGTTAATGGTTAACATATATTGGAAACTTGGGGATACAATTAAAGAGAATCCATTTCTTTTCCCTTTCTCTTTTAACTCTTGTTATTGGAGATAAAGATGAAGATGAAGATAATCTTAAGATTAACATAATAAGATGATGATGTTTATACATCAAGGAATACAAAATTTAGACAGTAAAAGAAAGATTTTAAGCTTAGCAACAAAAACCAAAAAGTTAACTTTTACTTTTCATCATTAGACAAAAGCTTTAGCTTTAACCATTATTGCTCATAAGAGTAAACAAGTAATTAGACGATACCATATATGGTTAACCATTTGGTCTTTGTCTGGACATTGAGACTGTTGATAAATAAGTACAAAATTATTAATAAAAAGTGACAATTGAACAATTAATCAGTTAATCAACATAAAGTTAACTCTATAACTGGATTAATATTAATTGTAATTGAAGTTAAAGTCAAATATAATTAAATTGTGAAACAAAAATTTGATTAACTAAAGTTAATTAAAGTGAAAAGTTGATAATTGAATATTGAAGAGACTAAATTAAGATGATCAAGGATCAACAATCAAACTTAAGTTTGATTCCCTTCAGTGCCCAGGAACTTGATTAAGATATCTCCTTGATCCAGCTGATTGAGGCTCATTAAAACGGACTAATTGTAATTGTGCTTCCATGGCTTCGATATCATCATCAGAAACAACTTTTATCTCAAAGTCCATTTCAGGAACTGGATATGAATCGTTCAATTCAGGAGATACACAACGATCATCATATATTGGTTGTTTTCTTGTCCTGGAATAATATTCATTACCATAATAATGCCAATTTTTTGGCCATTGCGCTTGATTTTGTTCAACCCGTTTGGAAAAGATTTTCAATAACTTTGACATCTTATGATTTCCACAGGTAAGATCTGCATTAGCAT